GGGCGAGGAAGCGTGTGCCTGTAGTTTCAGCCATTCGTAAGGCTGAGGCAGAAAGATCGCCTGAGCTCAGCAGGTCCAGGCTGCAGTGGCCGGGAGTGTGCCACTGCACTCCAGCCTAAGTGACAGAGTGAGACTCCAACTCAAGAAAATAAATAAATAATAGTCTGGTTGAGGACAATCTTTTTTTTTTTTTGGAGTTGGAGTCTCACTTAGTAGCCAAGACTGGAGTGCAGTGACCACTCCCGGCCACTGCAGCCTGGACCTGCTGAGCTCAGGCGATCTTTCTGCCTCAGCCTTACGAATGGCTGAAACTACAGGCACACGCTTCCTCGCCCAGTTTATTTTTTGATTTATTGTAGAGAGGAGGTCTCACCAAGGTAGCGGGTCTCGAACCCGTGGGCTCAGGCAATTCACTCACCTCAGCCTCCCAAAGGCGCGGGATTACAGGCTGAGTCACCGAGCCCGGCTGAGGACAATCTTAAGTGGATTCTGCTTGCTCCTCTAAATGCCCAAGGACAAGGCCCTGACTTCTGGTCGAGTTCTAGCAGTCAGCAACCCTGGAAAGTAAGATTCAGAGATGATTGCTCCCTAAAGGTCGTCAGTGAGTTGCAGGACCTATGCCAGTTTTTCTTTCTTTTCTTTTCTTTTTTTTTGGTTAACCATTAGCTACTTACAGAGCCTTCACTATTTTTTTTTTTTTTTGAGCTGGAGTCTCACTCTGTCGCCCAGACTGGAGTACAGTGGCCGCTCCCGGCCACCGCAGCCTTGACCTGCTGGGCTCCGGCATCCTTCTGCCTCAGCCTTCCAAGTAGCTGGAACTACAGGTGCTACCACGTTCGGCTAATTTTTGATTTATTGTAGAGATGAGGTCTTGCCAAGTTGCCCAGGCAGGTCTTGAACCCACGGGCTCAGGCAATCCACTCACCTCAGCCTCCCAAAGGCACGGGATTACAGGCTGAGACACAGAGCCCGACTTTTTGTTGTTGTTTTTTTTGAGTTGGGAATCTCACTCTGTCGCCCAGGCAGGAGTGCAGTGGCGTGCTCACGGCCATCGCAGCCTCGATCTGTTCGGCTGAGGTAATCCTTCCTCCTCAGCCTTCCAAGTATCTGAAACTACAGGCATGCACCACCACACCCGGCTGATTTTTTTTTTTTAAGTTATTGTAGAGATGAGTTCTCTCTAAGTTGCCCAGGTTGGTCTGGAACTCATGGGCTCAGGTAATCTTCTCACCTGGCCTCCCAAAGTGGCCACCATGCCCAGCCAACCTTCACTATTTTAAAGATAAAGTTAAAGGATGTACTTAGGCTTGGTGGCTCAAGCCTATAATCCCAGCACTTTGGGAGGCTGTGGTGAGAGGACTGACTGAGCCCATGGGTTTGAGACCAGCCTGGGCAACTTGGCAAGACCTTGTCTCTACACTAAATTTAAAAATCAGTCATGTGTGGTGACACATGCCTGTGGTTCCAGCTACTTGGAAGGCTGAGATGAAAGGACTGCCTGAGCCCAGAAGGTGGAGTCTGCAGTGGCCGTCAGCATGCCCCTGCACTCCAGTCCGGGTGACAGAGTGAGACTCCAACTCAAAAAAAATATATATATATATACATATATATAGACCAATAGATATTCATCAAGAGTAATGTAGGTGCAGGGGTATGCTCAGGCTCACGCTTGTTATCTTAGCACTTTGTGAAGTCGAGGCAGGAGAATCGCTTGAATTTAGGAGTTTCAGACCAGCCTGGGCAACATAGCGAGACCTTGTCTCTACCAGAAAAAGAAAGAGAAAACAACATTAAACATTGACTGAGCATGGTGGTACATGGCTGTAGGCCCAGCTACTCAGGAGGCTTAGGTGGAAGAGTCACCTGAGCCCAGCAGGTCAAGATTGCTGAGCCCTGAGCATGCCCCTGCACTCCAGCCTGGGTGATAAAGGGAGACCTGAGACTAAATAAACAAGTTTATAAACAATTGAGTGTCATTTTAGACAAGGTAGAGGTTGTCAGTTTCTTTTTTCTTTTCTTTGTTTTTGGAGTTGGAGTCTCACTTTGTCGCCCAGGCTAGAGGGCAGAGGCACGCACACGGCCACACATCTTTGACTGCTGGGTTCAGGAAGTCCTTCCACCTCAGCATTCCAAGAAGCTGGAACCACAGGCACACACCACCACGCCTGGCTAATTTTTTTTATTTATTATTATTGTAGAGACAAGGCCTCACCAAATTTCCCAGGCTGGCCTCGAACCTGTGGACTCAGGCAATCCTCTCACCTACACCTCCCAATGTGCTGGGATTATAGCCATGAGCCACTGTGCCTGGTTTGTTTGTTTCTTTTTATTTATTTATTTATTTAATTTTTTTTTTTTTTCCCGAGTTGGAGTCTCACTCTGTCACCCAGACTGGAGTGCAGTGGCCGCTCCTGGCCACCGCAGCCTCGACCTGCTGGGCTCTGGCGATCCTTCCGCCTCAGTCTTCCAAGTAGCTGGAACTACAGGCGCACGCTACCACGCCCGGCTCATTTTTGATTTATTGTAGAGATGAGGTCTCGCCAAGTTGCCCAGGCGGGTCTTGAACCTGTGGGCTCATGCAATCCACTCACCTCTGCCTCCCAAAGCGCAGGATTACAGGCTGAGCCATCGAGCCCCGCTTTGTTTGTTTCTCAATGTCTTAGAATGTGCTCAGGATGAGAAACAAAAAATCTATGGCATGGTCCTTTACTTCAAGATATACAGACTTTTTTTTTTTTTTTAGTTGGAGTCTTACTCTTGACCAGGTTGGAATGCGGGGGCATGATCCCGACTCACTGCAGCCTCCACCTCTTGGGCTCAGGTGATCCTCCCACCTCAGCCTACTGAGTAACTGGGACTACGAGCGTGCCACCATGCGTGGCTAATTTTTTGAAAAGATGAGGTCTGGAACCTGCGGGCTCAGGCAATCCTCTCACCTTGGTCTTCCAAAAAGTGCTGGGATTATAGGCGTGAGCACCACTCCCGGCCTACTTTTATTTTTTGACTCCAAGTCTCACTCTGTCGCCCAGGCTGGAGTGCAGTGACATGCTCAGGGCTACCACAGCCTCAACCTCCTGGACTCAGGCAATCCTGCCTCAGCTGGAACCACAGGCGCACACCACCATGCCCAGCTAATTTTTGGATTTATCGTAGAGATGAGGTCTTGCCAAGTTGCGAACCCCAGGGCTCAGACCATCCTCTCGCCTCTGCCTTCCAAAGAGCGGGGATTACAGGCGTGAGCCACGGCGCCGGGCCAGCGGTGGTCAGTTTCAAGCGCTGCGTGTCATTTCCTATCCTGGCGTCTTGCTTCCACGCCATCCTCTGAAGCAACCGTGTGTGCTCCTGAGTTCGTGTTTCATTTTTCACGTTAAATGACCCAAACTCTGCCGCCCTGAGTTGGAGCCGAGGGTTGTGCGCGACTCCCAGCGATGCTATTTTCCTGCTTTTTGCAGCTTTCAACACATCAACTTTGGACACCTGGGGGGGCGGGGAGCGAACACACCAGCTCGCGCCGCCCGCGCTGCAGAACTTTCCGCGGCGCGGCTCTGCCCCTGGGAGGACTCCCCTCGGTTTCCCGGA